CTGGCAATCTCAGGAGCAGGAGCGGCAGCGATGACCGCGGTTGCAGTTTCGGTCAGACCGAACGGCATTGGCCACTGCAGGTAACACCGTGCGCGCGAGAAATAATGTTAGTGAAATAATGCTTCCAAAAGTCTTTCGAAATAAATTGGAGTCATTCGAGGATTAGACCGGGCCGTATTTTTACAAGATTGAGGATCTCCTCCGGTCAAATTAGCAGTTACAGCTACACGAAAAATAGAGATATAACTTTTAAATTACCAGCTCCTCCACCAGGTTCCATCACTGCTTCACGGTGCTGTAAAGGTGATCCGTCCTTATCATCAATCTAAAATTCTCGCAGGTGAGATATATGTCCGGACTTCTTTCCGAACGCAACGCGTTGATGTCCTCAAGCCTTGAAAGGTACAAGGGTTGCAGCTGAAATGGTTATGACTAGGATCCGGCTCATTTTGAGCTCCCTCGCGTCAAACTGCAAATCTAGAATAATTCAACATGCACTGAAAGCGCATCAGTGAGGGCGTCAGTTCCATGCATCACTCGCTCACTGAAACTTTCAGACGCGTGCTACATCGACATCAAACTGATTTTGACGCCCCATGGCTCACTGCGAGACGCGTGCATGCGTATCGTATTATCATCCAGTCGAGCAAGGGAAGCTGGAGTTGTTGCACACAGAAAGCAGCTTATTTCGCATCTGCACGCGCTTCAGATTTCACTTGGCATGCAAACGGCTAGTTCGGGCGCGATTTATTACGCATGGTGACTGATACAGCAGAAACGCTTAAGATTATCTGACGCTCGCGGTGCAGCATATTTCACGGATATAAGTTAGTGTTTGAAGACAGAAATAACGCAAGTTGGCGGAGGCATGAATAACGCAAGTTGGCGGAGGCGCGCAAAAAAATAAATGTTTCATGGCGCAGGGATCCTGAACGCCTAAACGTGACCGAGGCTCTCACTGCGCTTCGTTCCTTCATACATACGTTACTGATGCAGGTGCGTAGCCAGTTACGTATCGTTTATCATGGCGACTGCTATTACGATGAAGTTTATTGTGCGTAACTTTATAGTTTGCATCATATATTGTATTGTTCAATCTTTATCTCCAAGAATTTTCAGCCACCACGTTCATGAAATGCAAAAGAAGGTTTGTGAATGAAAAGGACATCCCGCCTTTCATTCGCTGTTCACTCGCTCTCGCATCGAGTGACGTCACGCAACTACACACTGTCCTTGAGCACGATATCCCTTGGGCACATTGTACCTTCGGCACGTTGCCTCTTGAGTTATAAGGTATTTAAATTAAAAAGACCTTCCTTAAAAAAGGTCTTTAAATTAAAAAACCGTTTCTACGTCCCATATTCTAAATTAAGGAAGTACATCTGCCTGTCTGTCTTTCTGTCTGAGTGGGCACATTGTTAGCTACACGCCCAGCACCGGCGGCTGCAAGGATTTCCGTGAAATCTACATCATGCGACGGGTCAAAGCCTCCCGACGATCCCCAGCACAATTCATGCCTGTCCGATACATACAGGTATCAGTCGCAGCGCGCACCAGAGGGCGCGTTGTGGCATATAGCAGGAAGATATTTTGCGTATATGCTGATGAGATACTTTGTGGAAAGGTCAAGCCATCTAAACGTGTAGGAAAGCTCGAGCAACGATGTTGCTCACACGCAGGGGGCAGCTAATTCACGCGAGCACTGAAATTTTAGCGAAAAGGCTGATTGAGACGCGCTGGTGTACCACTAACATGGCGAAGCATTGTCGGTATGGACTGAAGACGGTGCTATATCGATGCCCCGTAGCGCCGGCTTTTCGCGCGGCAAAGTGCCGTCATTTGCCGTCGGCGTCATTATTCGCCCATGCCTGCGCCTTAAACCAAAAACAACAGGGTTAAAGAGTGACGGACTTAACTGCAACTCGATAGCGGACCACAAAAGCAATGAAATTCACTCGGTGCCTGCAGTCTTTAAACCAGCTCTCGCGAGAGATCAACCCCCGCGAAAGTTTTTACAAATAAGCTTCGAACGGCGCAGCGCAGCCACGCAAACTTGGTTTAGCTATAGGACAAGAAGTGTGCCAATCTTTTGATATGAGGAAGTTAGATGTACCTTGTACGGTCGCTGACCCATGGCAGATCAGTCAGCCTCTGACTGCCACATTCCACAATTTCTAGGAAATCGTCCAAAATGATGCGACAACTTAGCATTAAACGAAGTCATACAACTCTACATGGTTTCTTAGACGATTAGACGCTTCAAACTAGGAATGCAGCTATTAATTTTGAGTCAGGTATATTCATCAGATTAATGTCAAAGCCAAGCCGCTTTATAACTGACAAGCTTGCCTTCTGACTTTGTTTTTTGTGTTACGTTTATTGATTTTTGGGACCACAGCGACATCAAATGGTATCTTATCATCACTTCATGAAGGTCAGGGGAGGCTGCTGACCTAAAATTATGTCATATGATGTATGAATATGATATGGTTATGGTATGATAGTATGATAACTATATGTCATAAGCCTTTTGCTTTCAGAAGCATGCTACCAAGGCTAGTAGATACTTGGCGCCGATTATGAACTCAATCGTAAAAATAATCCCAAAGCTTTTTGTAATTTTCATCTTCTTAAGGTGAAATACGGACACTAGCCTAAAATGAGCACCAGCGATATTTTACTTCTAAGTGATGTCTAGATGAGGGCACGTTGCGTTAGGAGATTTGAGTGCACTTCGAACACCTATCTAGAGTTTGTGCTTGTTTGGCATTAATTAAACCTTGATCCATAGGTCGAGACCCCAACGGCTCGACCTAGGTATATCAAAACCTGACAAAAGTTAGTTTACATAGAACCCTACCTCCCCTGCGAATCTGACGTGTATAGCTTGGTTAACAATCCAGATTTCAAGGTGGGAAGAAGGGAACTGACCCCCACCCAAACGCAGAACATTTAACCAGACACCCGGGAGCGTGTAAGCCCAATGAGCCCGTCACTCTATAGAATAGTTCGTTACCTAACGAAGTAATAGAGTGGAGGTCCGTGCCCCATAGCTGATTCCACCCTACGCCCATAGCACTGACCAGACAGTCGACGACTGTTACGTCAGATCGAATGCTACCACATACTTCCTGGGTTCCTCACCTTGTGCAGCGGCGAGCCGACCGTCTGGCACACCAGATATTGTGGTTAAATCAATTGTGAATAATGTATTTTCAAAGTGGAACCAAATAAAGTCCGATTCTGTGTACACCACGTGTACGAAATCGAATCGGATTCAGCCTAGCCAATGGCGCCAATACGAATCCGGTTCAGGCCAAGACGGAATCGGTCACGGAACAATGGATTCCGCTGGAGTCAAGCGAAAGTCTGCACACGTCTTGGTTGTCCAGCTGTGTATGGATTGGATAAATATCACGAGGAGCGTGAAAACGGTGACCTTTAAGCACACGCGTATTCGACGAAATCCACCGAACTGCGGCACTCTTCATTCACAGACCACGGTTCGAAATAAACCAGGCCACTCACAAGTCACTGACGGCACCAGAGCCTCGCAAATCCCACGCCGTCAGGCTCATAAGCCCGGCGGCATCCGTTCTTCTCTTCGCGACAGAGATGGGCGCGGCGCCGGCTTAACTGACACCCGGAG